CCCGAGTCCCGGCGCGGGCCGGGACCAGGGCGCGGCCGCAACCCCCACCCACCCCGGCGCCGGGCCCGGCCGCGGGAACGCCCTCCCGGAATGAAGCGCTTCCCGGTGCCTCCAAGGTAGCTCGGTTCCGGATCGGGGACCCCCCCAGTCCTTTCTCTCAGGTCCCCGCTATTCAGAATAGGAGAGATCCCCAATCTCCCTGGGTCGGGAGGGAGATAGTCCCAGTGCCCCCAAATCCCCACACGTTCCAAATGGTGAGAATACCTCCATTTCCCCAGTCCGAGCGAGAAGCCGCCCTCGGAATCCCCAATTTCCTCCGAACCCAATTTAGAGTCCCAGCAGCCAGGGCTCTAATTTAGAACCCTCAGTCCACTCCCAGCATCCCATATCCTATTTGGGGAACCCTCTTAGTGCCTCGCGCCCCGAGTGGGGCGCCTCCATCAGCGCCCCAGTAGAAAGCGTATCAGTTTCCCCAATCCCTCCTCAGCCCTGCTGTTCAGAGCGAGAGTCCCCCTCAGCTCCCCCAAATCCCTTCCGCCCACAGTTGTGGACCCCATAGTCTGTGGAGAAACCCCCACCCCCAACCTGGGTCCCCAGTTTTCCGTTAGCCCCACCCCATGTGTGAGGAGTCTCCCCCATTTCTTTCTCTCCCTGGCTCACTCTGTCATCCCCATTCAGACTTCCGTCTGGGTTCGGGAATCTGGATTCCAAACGCTCACCGCCTCCCCGAGGCTGGGGGAGAAGCCGGTACCTCTTAGAGCCTCGCGTTTCCAGTTTAGGAGCCCATGGCTCAGCTGTCCGCTCTCCCCGCTCCCCACCAAGACCCCCTGCCTTTTTAGAGGTCGGAGCTCCACCCCATCCCATGGGAAGAACCTATACTACCTACCTACTGCTTTTGGAGTTACTTCCCTCAGTCTGTCTCATTTTCAGACCCACACCCCATGAAGGTAAACACCTTCCTCCCCATCCCTATCTTCTGGGTCTCTGGGATCCCTCAGTACTTTCACCCAAGGGTCCTGGGAGCCACCTCACATACCCCCAAAACTCCCTCCTTTCGGCCTGGGAACAATCCTGAGAAAGTCCATTCTGGGTAGCCGGGAGAAGCTGGAGACCCCTCTCTTTATCCCCACCTCTCCATACTCAACCCCTCACTTCCCTGACTGAAACCAACCAAGAAAGCGTCAAAGAAGGAAGCTAAGGCAGCCAACACCCCTCCTCCCCATCCCTGCTGGGGGTCCTGTGCCACAGGAGCCCCTCCCTCCCTACTCACCTCCCACTGCTTCCCCCTCCTTCCCTTAATCCACTCAGCTTAACCCAGTGTCAACCCTTGGTGGCAAACCCTTTACTGCTCACCTTCGCATTCATCCTGTATTTGACCACCTTCTATTACCGTGGGCAGCAGCTCTGACCCATGGAAGGTGCTCATCCCCCTTTTCTTAGCACACCTTCTCTCTGCCCCGCCCCCCAAGCACCACACATAGAACATGAGAGACTGGCGGTAAGGGTTTCCTTGGGGACCTTCTGGGAATACTCAGCAGGTACATCCTGCCACCCCGTGAGCACTGACACTAGAAAAGAACTTGCTTTTTCCTGTTTGTGTCCTCCTACGCTGCCCCACAGTTTCTCAGCATCCCTGGACTGGGGATGGCAGGCATCCCAGGCAGGGCATTTCTTACCATTCCAACAGAAACTGAAGCATCAGGTGTGTTGTGGGAGGGACACAGATGAGGGCCAGCAGATAGCATCTGCAGTATCAGGAAATGGACTGTTTAGGTCTAAACTTTAATAATGGGGTCAGTGGAGAGGTACAGGCAGTGGGTATCTCCAAGAGTTCCTGAGCATTGATGTGTGCCGGTGCTGTTGGGTGGGTTGCTTGGAAGACAGGAAATATGTAAGAGCCACTTGTTCAGAGTCAGCCAAGACTGTGTAAGAAGTTGATTGAGATAGGATCCATGCATTAACATCCTAATTCTGGAGCTCAGAGGAGGAAGCGTCTACTTTTGTCAATACCAGGCTTGTAGCACAATAACTTGGGGTGGACTTAGAGAAGTCCTCTCCCACTGCAGGTTTATCTCAGTCTTGCAGCTTCAATCCACTTTGTTCACAGTAAGGGCAACAAGTCCTTCTAGGAGTAGCCCTCACAGGACAATGCAGCTGTGAGTGCATGATCCTCATAGTAAATTGAGGATCTCAGCGGTATTAAGGAAAAATGATCTTTAGAGCAACTGGCCCAGACTCCAGAATTAAGAGATTAGAGGATGTGGTTCCAGCTCTTTCTCTCTAGTACTACACACACGTAGCATCATTCAGAGAATAAAAGAATAATTTGCTTTACAGTTTTTTTAATCCTCTCAAGAAAGACAGTGGGCAAGTGACATTATGCCCAAGCACTAAGAGGCGACTTCGCACAGATATTTACTGAACGTCTTCCTAGGTGCTGTATTCTTAGCCCCTATCTTTATGAAGCTTGCTTTCTAGAGATAGGAGTCAGAAAAATAAATGAGTGAATGAATGTTAGAGAATGATTGAGTAAATGAATACACAAAAACAAATAAATAAATGGTATGTCCAATAGATGTTGCACGTGCAACAGGAAGGGTAGCAGGGAAGGTAGGCATGGGGGAAGTGGTGATATGCAATTTTAAATCAGGAAGGTTCTCATAGAGAGGACAATATTTGAGCAAAGACTTGAAGGAGATGAGGTACATGAACTACTCTATTATCCAGAACTCTTTTTTTTTTTTTGAGTTGGAGTCTCACTCTATTGCCCAGACTGGAGTGCAGTGGCCGCTCCCAGCCACCGCAGCCTCGACCTGCTGGACTCTGGTGATCCTTCCGCCTCAGTCTTCCAAGTAGCTGGAACTACAGGTGCGTGCTTCCAGACCCGGCTATATTTTTGATTTATTGTAGGGATGAGGTCTCGCCAAGTTGCCCAGTCGGGTCTTGAACCTGCGGGTTCAGGCAATCCACTCACCTCAGCCTCCCAAAGCACTGGGATTATAGAACTCTTATTTAAGCAGAATGTGTCTCTTGAGTGCAATGATAATTGATATTCATATTTTGACTTTCGCTATTCTAAAACTGGTTCCCAAACTTTAGTGTCCATAAAAATTACTCAGTGATTTTCAGTAGACCCACAGTGGATGGAGCCTCAGGAAACAGCATTTTTGAGCAGGCACCTCTCTCAGATGATGCTGAGAGCTAAGGTTTTTCCTTGGACCACTCCTGGAGAAACGCAGCTCTAAAATAGAAGAGCCTTTGAGAATGATGACAACAGCAACACAATTAAAGATTAAATTACAGTCCATATGGTTTTAGTGTTGAGAGTATTTAACTGTGTTCTCATGCTTTGAAAATGCAATACTCAAGCAGAGCCCTGAATTACCCAGAACATCCCATTTCTTGTTCGTGCGAGAGAAGGGAAAATTAATTGTAAGCCGATTAGGAGTCATGCATTTATAATCAGTCCATTTACAACCTTCTGTCATTAAAAAAAAAAACTTGATTTTTTAGAGCAGTTTTAGGTTCAGCAAAATTGATGGGAAGGAACAGAGATTTCCCCTGTACCTCTTACCCCCACGCATGCATAGCTTCCCCCACAAACAATATCCCCCACTGGGGAACCTACACTGACACATCATTATCATCCAGAGTCCATAGTTTACATGTGTTTACTCTTGGTTGTGTACATTCTGTGGGTTTGGACAAATGTATAACGTGATGTATTTCCCATAATAGCATATCATACAGAGTGGAGTCACTATACCCAAAATCCTCTGTGCTCATTCTCCCCACTTCCCATAACTCCTGGGAACCATTGATCTTTGTATTGTCGCCATAGTTTTGTCTCTTCCAGAATGTCATATAGCTGTGATCATACCGTACGTATCCTTTTCAGATTAGCTTCGTTCACTTAGTAATATGCATTCAAGTTTCCTTCTTGTCTTTTCACAACTTGGTAGCTTATCTCTTTTTGGTGCTGAATACTATTCTGTGCTCTCAGTCTACCACAGTTTATGTATCTATTCTGAAAAACATCTTGGTTGCTTTGAAGCTTTGACAATTATGAATAAAGCTGTTATAAAAACCCATGTGCAGATTTTTGTGATGTGAGTTTTCTTTTTTTTTTTTTTTTAATTAATCAGTATTTTTATTATAGTTTTGTGGGGTACAGTTAAGGATTAGGTGTACAATTACGTTTCATTCAGACACCCTGTTGATAAGAGGTGTTTTCCCAGCCCCAGACAGATATTTGCTACTGTTAATCCCCTCCCCCTCCCCCCCATGATGTGAGTTTTCAATCCCCTACTTTTTTACCCTAATTTTTCTCTTTACTTTTTTCTTCCCCCAAATTTCTGGACTCAGTCAGAAGGTTATCAGCTGGGGTAATGAAAGCACGTGAAGACCAGGCGCAGTGGCTCACACCTATAATCCCAGTACTTTGGGAGACAGAGGTGAGAGGATTGCCTGAGCCCACGGGTTCGAGACCAGCCTGGGTAACTTGATGAGACCTCATCTCTACAATAAATCAAAAAATTAGCTGGGTGTGGTGGCATGCACCTGTAGTTCCAGCTACTTGGAAGGCTGAGGCAGAAGGATCACCTGAGCCCAGCAGGTTGAGGCTGCGGTGGCTGTGAGCATGCCACTGCACTCCAGCCTGGAGTGAGACTCCAACTTAAAAAAAAACACAAAAAAACACTTGACTGAGAATCAAAAGATTCAGAGATTGGTCCTGGGACTACCACCATTTCTGGTTGGGTGGGTCTAGGGATATACCATTTAGCTTTCAGAGTGTCTGTTTACTCTCAGAGTTGCTGCAAGACTTAAGTGAGATCACATAGATGAAATCATTTTCAAAACTCTAAAGCGCTGACCAAGTATAGTGGTTCACACGCATAATCCCAGCACATTTGGAGGTCAAGGTGAGAAGATTGCTTGAGCCCAAGAGTTCCAGACCAGAGCAGGCAACATAGCAAGACCTCGTCTCTGCAAAAAAAAAAAAAAAAAAGTTTTAAAAATTAGCTGGCAGTGGTGGTGTACACCTGTAGTTTCAGCTACTCAGGAGACTGAAGCAGAAAGATCACCTGACCCCAGCAGATTGAGGCAGCTGTGAGCCTTGATCATGCCACTGCACTCCAGCCTGGGTGACAGAGTGAGACCTCGACGCAACAACAACTCTAAAGCATTATGGGAAGGTTGGAAAGGTATGAGTAGAATTGTTCATCAGCTCCATACAGTGGAATGATATTAGTTCATAAAAAGAGAATGCAGTACTGAGCATACTGCAACATGGGTGAACCTTAAAAACATTTTGCAAAGTGCAAGAAGCCAGAAACAAAAGGTCACATATTTTATTATTCAGTTTATACGATATGTCCACAATAGGCAAATCCACAGAAACAGGAAGTAAACTGGTGGTTGCCTAGAGCTTGAGGGATGGGGGGAAGACTTGAAAATGAAGAGTGTAGCCGGGCTCGGTGGCTCAGCCTGTAATCCCACACTTTGGGAGGCTGAGGTGAGTGGATTGCCTGAGCCCACAGGTTCGAGGCCCACGTGGGCAACTTGGTGAGACCTCATCTCTACAATAAATAAAAAAATTAGCTGGGCGTGGTAGCGCGTGCCTGTAGTTCCAGCTGCTTGGAAGGCTGAGGTGGAAGGATCGCTGGAGCCCAGCAGGTGGAGGCTGTGGTGGCCAGGAGCGTGCCACTGCACTCCAGTCTGGGCGACAGAGTGAGACTCCAACTCAAAAAAAAAAAAAGGAGAGTGACTGCTAATGGGTGCAGTTTCTTTTTGGAAAATGTTCTCAAATTGGCTACAGGGAAGGTTATGCAATGCTATGAATACACTAAAAAAAAAGCCCTGAATTATATATTTGTTAAGTGGGTAAATGGAATAGTATGTGAATTGTATCTCAATAAAGCTGTTACCAAAAATTTACCTGGTATGAACCTTTCTCTGGTCCCAGCACCTTTTCCTCAAAATGAATTTCCTCTCTTTTGTCCCATAGCACTTTGCTTTTACTTTTATTATTATTATCTAGAAATTATTATTTATTTTATTTTATTTTAGAGACAGGCTCTTTCTCTGTCACCCAGGCTGGAGTGCAGTGGTGTGATCGTAGCTCACTGCAGCCTCCTGAGTAACTCAAGTGATGCAAGTGATCCTTCTGCCTCAGCCTCCTGGGCTCAAGTGATCCTTCTGCCTCAGCCTCCTGAGTAACTTATCAAGAAATTATTAAACATTTTCCATATATCGGACACCATGCTAAACATTTTTCAGGGATTTTCCCATTTCATTCTCTCAGCAATTATACAAGGTAGGAACTACTATGTTTTTATTTTACTAACCAGGAAAACAAGTCTTAGAAAAGTCATTTGTCCAAAGTCATATACACATGCTCCTTGATTTACGATAAAGCTACATCCC